TGCGATTTCTTCTTTTGATGAGATAGGGTACATGCACTCAGAACGTTCATAATTCATCTACTCTTTCATGTGCATCAGATGAAGAAAATCGTACTAGAAATCGCAGCAAAAAGTGTAAATGGCTTTTAGATAAATGAGTAAACTTGAAAGTTATTTATAGCTGCTCAGTTTCGGCGTCAGTAACAAAGAATGTTGAATTTCTATCCTTTAGGATGAACCGACGACTGGCATGGACCCTAAAGCAAGAAGATTTTTATGGAAAATTATTTCTGATATTGTTAAGGATGGACGTACAATTATTTTAACTTCGCACAGGTAAGCATGCACATGCATTTCCTACCCGAAAACTACTTTTTGTTTTGTGAGAATATTTATTCTAATCCGGTTATATGGATTACAAATTTTCCTTTTTTCATCGCAAGATTTGTGTTATTTGTATAAACAAAATACAAAACAATTCTGAATACATTTGAAGCAATTTGAACGGACTTGGAGTACAATGTTGTATAGAGAACATAGAAGTATTTATTTCCATCGAGTTATTGGAAAACTCGTGTAGCTTAAGAGAATTTAAAAGAACGTGGAAACACTGACCCTAATCCGGTCTAATTTTTGGTTCTCCCAAATTTCTATTACGCAGAGTAGTTTCCATCATCCCTATTTGCCGGGATTTGATTTGACTTTATTGACACTCCCGTAAAGGGGCTTTTCAGTGACTTAAATTTACAATATTATTACACTAAATTCTAAATAATTTATATAATTTGTGAGAACACAATTGTGAACAACGACAACGACGACAACAATAGCAACGACGACGAGAAGTACAACAACAAAAACGGCAGCAACGGCAAACAACAACGACAACAATAACCACAACAAAAACAGCAGCAACGGCGACAACAACGACGACAACAACAACAGCAACGGCAACAACAACGACGACAACAACCACAACAACCACAACAACAACAGCAACAATAACAACGGCAACAACAACAACAACAGCAACGGCAACAACAACGACGACAACAACCACAACAACAGCAACAGCAGCAACAATAACAACGGCAACAACAACAGCAGCAACAACAACGACGATGACAACAACAACAACAACAGCAGCAGCAGCAACGGCAACAACAACGACGACAACAACCACAACAACAGCAGCAGCAGCAACAATAACAACGGCAACAACAACAACAACAGCAACAACGACAACAACGACAACAACAGCAACAACAACAACAACAACGACAACAACAGCAACAACAACAACAGCAGCAACAACAACAACAACAGCAGCAACAACAACAACAACAACAACATACAACAGCAACAATAACAACAACAACAACAGCAACAACAACAACAACAACAACAACAACAACAA